AAATTAAAATTTTCTTTTACATCTAATGCTTTTAATTAAAATATACTCATAATGCTATAAGTATCCAATATAAAATAACATATATTAATACACATACAATACACATATAATGATTAATTCATTAAAAAAATATACTTATATTTATAATATATATATTTATATATAGAATAAGAATATAAATGATTTAATATTTGGAATAAAAATATCCAGACCATCAAAATAAATTTTAATATATTAAATTATATATATAATAATAATATAAATATATATAAATATATATAATAATAGTCAAATATTTATTTAATAATATAATATGTTGACGTTTAATGTCAACAAAAAATTAAAAACTGCACCTACATTCATCAAGTAAACAATCAAAATATTAAAATAAATTATGTTTAAAAAAAATTAGAAAAAAATAGAAATCAATAAAAAAATAATTAATTATTATAAATAGTATGATAAATATAGAAAAATATTCGTCTTACCTTTGTTTTGAACAGTTCGCATCCGATCTTGCTTCGAAAAATTATCGAGGTTATTTTGAATCATAGATCTGGTTTCAGATGCCATCAATTCTTTTGAATTATTCGATTTCGAATAAACTAATTAAGAGAAAATAACTTGTCCGACCCGCCACTGCACACTTCATCACGTTGCTTTCTTGAAATAATCGTACTAGTAGAATTTCTGAGGATGCCTATCGACCGACTTCTCGTACCTTGTGGTAATCGAACTGATCGACCAATGAACGTAATAGACAAATGTCACGTGCAAGTTTCGATAATATATTAAAAGTATTTTATTGATAATAATACATTTAAAACAGATATATGTTTTTGTCTCTAGATGAACTATTTGCAATGAGATCGATTGATTTCTTGATCGATGAATAATATCTTATATCGATCAACTAAAATCATATATCGATTAATATTATGAATATATGCTATAATATGCACACTATCATTTTGTTATTTTTTATCTTTTTCTAAAATTTTAAATATCTTAGTAGTAGTTAATAAAGATATTTTTAATTAATTAACATTTTTGTTTAGTAATATTTTTTATGAGCCAATAACATAATCAAAATAAGATATTTTCTTTTTTAATAATTTTAAATATAAAAATTTTCATATTTGCAACTATAATAATGAAAAAAATTTCCCGCGATTTTATGCTCTTTTTCTATATTAATTTTTAGAATTAAAGAATATTGAAGGATTAAGGTTAAGACAATTGAGAGATCGCATTAGGATCAAATTTTTTTTATGAAGGTAGATTTTCATCAGTAAAAAAATACAAGAAAAAAAAACAAAAATTTGTTGTCGACAAAATTCACTGAACTTTATTAACATGTAACAATGAAACGGAAGTTATAGGACTTGATGACGAGAAATCTGACAATCGCACGCATTTAACGACCGTTCCCGGTAGACTGACGAGAAATTCAGACAAAAGTCTAGAGATTTATTTTTGGTCAGATTGTCGTGCCAAAGGAGGACAATGTGGCCAATATCGCATATGTACTAGTGGCGTCAAAACATTTGGCTTGACGATGTAAATGGCCGGCATTCGCGGGCCTTTGCTATTCTAATAAGGTGACTAAAAACACATGATTACAAAACTAACATTTTTTTCTTTTTTCATTTTATACTTTGTCAACGTTCCACTATACACATTTACCCCATAATAATACTTCCCCATAGCCTCAAAAGACACTTTTTTTTCTTCTTTACCACGCAATCATAGTATACTTATTTTTTTCGTATATCGGATAACGTTTAAAAAATCAAACGTTATCCAACTTCCGGTTTCTCCTTTTTTTCTGTTAATTACGATACAATATATATCGTCTTCAATTATTGAAAATTTTCTTAAACAATATACGGTAAATGTCTCAAAAATAAGTATCGATACTCATTCCATTTTCATTTACATTGTACATTAGATCTTGTGTTATCATAAACGATGCTACATCATTTATGACAGTGCTGTCCAGTTTCAGAATATCTTTCATATTCTCATTTTTTTCACGTTCATTCGTTTTAAGAGCAAGATATAAAGAGAAGAAAATCTAAAATATTAGATCTATTTCTGAGTTCTTTTTACTCTTATGACATGTAAAAGGGAACAAAGTCGCATAAGAGATCCCTCTCGTGGACAGCACTGATTTTTGTGCACAGAATTCACTGCGCAACAGATCAAACGAGAGAGCACTATTGAAATATAATTCATACATAGAATATACGCCTAAGAATAATGTCTGTATGAAATACAGAACATAAGAGTTATTGCATGATTTTTACAATGGCATATTGATCCACGCCCAATTAAAATTGTCTTATTGCGTATATTTTATCTTTCGTTTCAATGTAAAACCTGGACGCAACGAGATCACGATCTAATTTCAAATCCAATGCTCTGGAGAAATTTAAAAAATCTCTCAACTAGCATCTTCTCGTGTTGATCTCGTTTGGTAGCGAGATCAGCAATTTTGTTAGTGCATGCATGGAATGCTTGCACGAGAAAATCGTGGCACAAAATCACGTCATCGTTCGTTAACGTAGCTAATGTTTTTTGAACATTTTTTTTTTCAATCGATTTGTCAACGGATCGGCTATCAACATCGTACTCATCTTCGTGGTAAGAATGCTTCAATGCCATAAAACGCACAAGAAGATACGCGAGGAATCTACGATGGCACCAAAGAGCCTCGTGATCGTTGTACAAGAAAATAGCACTATCATTCGCATGGCATTCTTCTAGCCAATATGACAAAGCATGGAAATATGCATATTGTTTCATTTTCGATGAAGTAGTTGCTTCAGATTCCGCGTTTGTAGCATTAAATAGCCTCTGCAATTGATGGGTGTTCCCTTTTTCACTGATGTTTGACTTAATGTAAACGAATAGTTCCTCTTTCCATTGTTCCCTGACATCCGAGTATTTCATAGACAGTTCCTTCGGTAGTTCCTTGAATTCAAACATGAATTTTTTCAGTAGGAACTGTCGATAGGAAAGCCCGCTATAATCCGACACATGCCGTTGACACCAAGCGAGCGAATTCTTCCATTCTGTTTCCAGACTCGGATATGTAAATCCACGTGATTCACGAAGGGTCAATACATGACGCCTATGACTCCAAGCGTGATAGTTACTTGCGTATCTTTCCGCGCACGTAGTTGCTATGTCCAATTCCCTACAAAGCGGCGATTCCACCGATTCTGGATCATAATGTCCGTCTTTACTGCTCAATATATATGATAATAACCATCGTCGATAGGCGAACGCCTCGAAACTTTTTGGCTTATGATAAAGCACCAATCGTGAAAAAAAGAATTCTTCGGATGCTTCTAACTTATGATTTCTTACTAATTCCCGTCGCATGTTCCAAAATGTCGTAACATCTGGATTTAATAATAATGCGCCCAACAACCATCTTGCTATTGTACTAGGTTCCTCACGTCTGTGTTTATTTTGTCGAAGTTCAAAGAGCCGACGATAAGCATAACAGTAAAGTGGTTGCACACACCACGATGCCAATCCGAGACAATCTTCCTGATGAAATACTGGTGATTTGTTCTCATTGTCTTCAGCAGGGATTATTTCAAAACTTTTTCTGAAATTAAAAATGAATCAACGCGTAATAAACAGGATCTTTTTAATATAAACATTCCTAATTTAATTTATATAATTTAATAAAATATATATTTTTTTTAAATATTAAATATAAATTAATAATTATAATAATAAATTTTAAATATGAAATATTTGAAAAATATTTAAATTATGTTATAAAATATTATAAATTATATAATAACATAAAAAATAAAAAATATTTATAAAAGGCTATAAAATACTAACTTTTAGACATATATAATATTAATATAAAATTATATTTTTAATATATTTAGTTTGACATATATTATCATCGATTATTGATATCAATGATGCATGCAATTATAATATTATATTTGCGTATATACATATATATTGAATATACATATGTATATGAGAAAGAAAGAAAGAAAAATTAAAAAAAAAATATGTTTAACAATAATTATTAAGATTTAATAATAAAAAACGAAAGCGCCAGTTTTCTATTGTAAATACTAGATACCAACATTGCTGATATTATATTTACTATGTAAACTTTTTATGAAGCGTCGTATGTGCTCATGCTTGATTAAAACGTACGACGATAATGTTATGATTCGATAATGATTTAATTCTATTATAATTAAAACATTATATGAAACATGATATTGTCTATATAATAAACATGCTAATGTATCAAATCTAAGAATTTAGAGTATATTTCACAGATATTTTTAAAGACTCCGCCCTCGTAATGTATCTAAGAAAACACTCACAGTGACGGATTCTTCTTCACCACATTTTCGATGTCGGAAAGGATTTTCTCTGCAGCCGGAAAAATATCGTCTTGCATTTTAATCTTGTCACTTTTATTTGTTACATGTCTTGGGAAATCAGGGATAAACTGATACACAATTAACCCTTCTGTTTCTCTCACTGCACCTTTCAATGCAGGCACGATGTAGCGTTTTTCTGCGGAAGTGTGGGGGGATATACTACGATACTCTTTGAAGTTTTCTGCAAGTCTCGAACGTTCGAAATCAAATGGCGCGAAATTATTAATTGAATTATATTGATAAAAAATAAAAATCAAATATATTTATTTGTTTTATTTTATTTCAATATATATATATATTTATTTTAAACAAATGTAAATAATGTAGATTTTATATTTAATATTTTTTATGAAATCATATTTATTAATATTCTATTATATGTATACATATTATATATATGTTAATGTATGTATATAGTAAAATATTATATATATAATATATATACATTAATATATATAATAAAACATTAATATATATATTATAAAAAAT